GTAAAAGGTTAGGCCAGTGGAGGGTGGGGGAAGGAGAGAAATAAAAATAAAAAGAGAAATACACAAAATATGTAGTTTGGGGCTGAAGCCCGGAACATTGGTGGCTTAAAAGCCAAATTTGTGCCCGGATTTGCCAGTGGAAGGAATGCCCGTCTTGTATTTGCAAAACAAATCTGTACTTCCTACACAAACGCACACAGAATCTCTGTGATCTGCCTTTCTGGGGGTTCTCGCCGAACTCTAGAGAAAGCAAAGATGTACCGACAGATGGCCTCTTATTTGAGAACCTGTTCGACGCCTGGAGTCGATCCAACGCACAGCCGAACAACTTGGAAAGGTGCCAAAGAGGGCACATTGGTTATAAATCGACAACTATTTGTTTCGCCAAAGGGATCCAGGCCAGTGGATCCCCTTGGAGCCCTCAAACGATGCTCTCTTTGAAAATAAACCAGATCAAACCTTTCCCTGCAGGGTGAACCGTCTTCCTAGGGGAAAATGGAAAATGTTTGCGATTTTATTTTCATAGCTTTAATGTACGCTGAAGGTGGCATTTAATTCGTTGTACGCTGTGCAATGACAATTAGGTAAACTAAACTTAAACTAATCTGATTTGAAAGGGACCTTGGAGGTCTGCTAGTCCAAGCCCCTGCTCGAGCAGGAGAGCCTAGGAACCATTTCAGATAAATGGCTGTCCGCACTCTCTTCTTAAAAGCCTCCAGTGATGGAAGAAATACAACTTCTAGAGGCAGGCAGTTCCACTGGTTAATTGTTCTCACTGTCAGGCAATTTCTCCTTAGTTCTAAGTTGCTTCTCTCCTTGATTAGTTTCCACCCGTTGCTTCTTGTCCTGCCCTCAGGTAGTTTGGAGAATAGCTTGAACCCCCCCCCCTCTTCTCTGGGGCAGCCCCTCAAATACTGGAAGGCTGCTATCATGCCATCCTTAGTCCTTCTTGTCATTAAACAAGACACCCCCAATTCCTGCAACTGTTCTTCATTTGTTTTATCCTCCAGTCTCTTAATCATCTCCGTTGCTGTTCTCTGCACTCTTTCCAAAGTCTCAACATCTTTTTTTTACATCATGGCGAACAAAACTGGATGCAATATTCCAAGGGTGGCCTTTAGGTAAAGGTAACGCCAGTATGTGCTAGGCGTTCCCGACTCCAGGGGGCGCCGCTCATCTCCGTTTCAAAGCCGAAGAGCCAGCGCTGTCCGAAGACGTCTCCGGGGGTCATGTGGCCGGCGTGACTCAACGCCGAAGGCGCACGGAAGGCTGTTCCCTTCCCACCAAAGCTAGCTCCTATTTTTCTACTTGCTTTCGAACTGCTAGGTTGGCAGACGCTGGGACAAGTCACGGGAGCTCACTCTGTTACGCGGCGCTCGGGATTCGAACCGCCGAACTGCCGAACTTTCTGATCGACAAGCTCAGCATCTTAGCCACCGAGCCACTGCATCTTGCCACGGTATTTTAAAATCAGGCTGTTTGCAATCCGAAGAGGCAAGGCAAGATTGTCGTTCCCCAAGCGACGGGAAAATGGACCCACAAGATCTCCCTCCAGATGGAGCAACAGCAAACATAGATTGGATGTGAGAAAGGTTCTCTGTCCAATCAGAAGCTAAAATAGTTGGCTGGGCTCCCAGCATCCTTTGCATAAAGCTCCCCATATGCTTCCCAGCTTGTACGTTGATCAGGGACAGATGGCGTGGCGGGGATCGGATGGAAGTTTTCGGTCTTTAGGATTCGCGGCGTATGATTAAACCGGCGGATTACATCATGATCTTTATTGGATAATTAACAGCCTGCCTGTGACAAATGGCTTCTGAGCTCTTGACGGGTGCCTGCGGGGACAAATCGGGAGAGGCCTTTCTCCTTTGGCCTCGGGAGTGTTTTGAGATTTTATTTTATTTTTTGTTTTGATTTTTTATGTATACGTTTTTCTTTAACATAGACAGGCATTTAATAGACAGTGTATTGTCTGGGTCATTTTACATCCACGTAATACTGGTAGTAATAATATTCTTTACTTGTCTGTAATACCGTGTTTCCCCGAAAATAAGACAGGGTCTTATTTCTCTTTTGACTGATGGATAGATAAGATATCAGATATAAGATATATTATTATTGTATAATATCTATTATTGTAAGCCGCCCTGATATTATTGTAAGCCGCCCTGAGTCCCCTCAGGGAAAAGGGCGGCCTACAAATGCTTAATAAAATGAAAAAAAAAATGAAAAATGAAGATATGATAAGATATAGATAGATTGGTAGACAGACAGAACAATGGATGGATGGATCATAGATAGATAGATAGATAGATAGATAGATAGATAGATAGATAGATAGACGATAGATAGATAGATAGATAGATAGATAGAT